AAAAAAAAAAAAAAAAACTTCCTCTAGAAAGGCAAGGAAACATCTTACCTCAGTAGGTAGGTGAAATTTCTCCCAAGTTCAATTCCTCCAACCCTAAGCAACCTAAGCCTCTGAGCAGCCTGACATTTCACCGAAACCTGAACTGCATCTCCAGCCTGCTCTCAACTTGCTGGTTCCCTCCAAGCTTCCACCCTGTTTTATCCACCAGCTTCCTATTTGTCTTACAAGGCATAAGGACTGAAAAACACCCTCGCTGCTCTTCAGTGGGTGGCCACAGTGGATAATTTAGCAGTGCCATCTACAATTGGCTGGTGGTGGTCCCTGCTCCTGGGCTGTCCCAAGCCAGGTGATAGGTAGCCTTAGAAACACCATGAACACAGCAGGCATGTGTTTCTCCCAGAATCTAATTTTAGAGAAGGTGGCCCTGCTGAGGAAGCTTGTTTTCATGGAAGCCTGTGGTGGCATGGTCTCTAGGCCATTCCACTTGGAGGGACTGTATGGACAGAGAGGACATGAAGTATTGACTTAAGGGAGGCAGGTGGTTCTGTTTTGAACTCATGAGGTACAAACACACTTCACGAACATCTCCAGAACTGGCAGAGATAAAAGAGAAAGAAATGAAAATCATTTGAAATATGATCCCTCCCCACTACTGGATATGAAACCCAGGGCCTCATACTGGGGAAGTGCTCTTCCATTGAGATACATCTTGAATCCTGATCATTTTTGTTAATTACAAAACTCAAGTCCAGCTGAAAGGAAGGCTGGCCATCAGAATGTCATCTTTTCTGTGACCAAATGTTTTCATTTGTTTGAGCCAAACAGTTGTGTCTTAATGGTTTGTGTGATAGCAAAATCAGCTTCCATTTTTTCCTGACTAAGGGACACATTTCTCTCTCTCTCTCTTTTTTAATAGAGAGGAGTTTTCATGAATCATAGCTTTAAGGGAAGGCAAAGCTCATCCCTATTCTTGACAGTTTTGGTTGCATCTATTTTTAAAATGTATTTATGCTGAGGGTTGTGGTTCACCTACCATGCTTAAGGCCCCCACACCATGAAAAAAAAAAACTTAGGAGGGAAATATATCAAAGTCAATGTTAGATAGTGAGGATCTTTCTTATGTTCTTATTTTTTCCAGATTTTTAATAATGAATATATATTACTTTTATGGCTAGAAAAGGTATTAAGAACACTGCTCTTTGTAATTGAAAAAATTAATCAAATACTATTTCCCCTTCATAATACCTTCCCAGACACCCTTTCTCCTTCTCCTGATAGATTGCAGGAAATCCAAGTGGGTGAGCTTGCAAAACCCCAGTGTATACTGTGTCTGTCTTCATATTTAGAGAACAAGAACCCCATAGATCAGAATCCTCTTTAGGATCATTAAACATACTAAGAAATAAAAATACTTCCTCCCTACTCCCACTGCCTTAACCGATCATGGTCTAGAATTCCAGACCCATTCACTCCATTGCTTTGTCTGATTTTCCCATCTTTGAAGATGTCACCTCCCCAGATCACTTGAGGTAACTGTGTTTTCCTTGCAGGTGTGGGAGTCACTTCGGGGCTCTCTGCCAACTCCCCCAGCACTTCTGGTAGCAGCACCCTGTCACCTTTCCAGCATGCCCATAAAGGTAAGGAGGGTGCCCAGGTGTGTCTCTTCTGGAGTTTAGGGACTCAGCAAAAGTTGAGAGGGAAAGGGAAATCCTTGTTAGTAATGACTGCAGCTCTTTCCCACCTGCAGTCACTTCCCTACTAATGTGATTGAATCACAGTTGGAGCCCAATTGCTGGAAGCCAGTAATTATCTCTGCAAGGAGTGGAACTGATACCCTATGGTGTCCTGGACCTGTTGGGAAAGCACTGGAAGTAACATTTGGCAGGGCGGAGGTAGGGAGCGCAGACAACCAGAAGCAGGACAAGGAAAGACATTGCCTGTGCTTCAGCCGGAAGTCAACAGCAATTCTATTGCTAGTTTTCATATAAGCTCGCTGACCTCCACGCTTTAATACTTATTTTCAAAGACTGTATTTCATTCTTCCTAACTCCTAAGTGAGGGAAATTGAGCCCTCCGTCCCACTCGTCTCTCAGAGCAGGCCCTCAAGCTGGCATATGGCTTTCCCTTTCTATGGTTCTAGGGCCACCTGTTGTTTAAGCATGTTGAGGGCTGGAGCCAACTTTTCCGCTCTGGCACCTCCCTCAGATGACAGGGAGCTTCGGATTCATGTCACCTGTCTGAGTGGTGAGTCACCTGGATCCTGCTTCATGAAAAACAGGGCCATGTTTGGTTATTTTAGAGAATTAGAGCAAGAGTCAGGGCATTCCACACACCCAAGGATGCATTAATCATGGAAATAAGCAAACTGCTCAGAGATGAGGAAGGGGCAGCCATGTGGGATGGCAGCGCAGGAGTAGGTGAGTCATTCCTATGCCCTGGGACTCTTATTATCACAATGAGGTTGAAGTTTCATGGGGTACAAGATAGAGCCAAAGCAGAAATTCAGTGTCTGGCCCGATGAGTGGACTTTTGTGCCCTGATCTTTGCTTAGAAATGCCCACCCTTGCACTGTGCTATCTCAGTACACTCTTGTTCACCTCAGTACTCTCTTCCTCACCCTACCTTGTTCTTGGGTTTCCAGAGTAAAGAACCAAGAGCAAGTGCTTGGGAATAGTCAGGCCAAGCTGCACCCTGGCACTCTCAGACCAGTGTGGATGAGCCTGGTTGAGAGCAGCGAGGGGAGCTGACAGGCAGTCCTGACCTGGTGGCCAAAGCACACTCTAAGGGCTGCACTCCTGGGCCGAACAAGGTCCCCTGGAATTGTCCCCATGGTGAGGCCATTCTAACAGGGGCCAGGGACCTTGAGAAGGTATCTGCAGGGACATTTATGCTTTCTCCCCTGGTTCCAGCAGAGCTCTCTGGCCAAGGACACCTGGCCACCGCCCTGATCATTGCCATGTCCACTATCTTCATCATGGCCATTGCCATCGTCCTCATCATTATGTTCTACATCATGAAGACGAAGCCTTCTGCCCCAGGTGACAGCCTGTGCCCCACCCTCCCTCTCTCACTCCTTACCAGTCGGAGAGCTTAGCTACTCACTTCTCTCTCCTTTCTCTCTAACCAGCCTGCTGCACTAGCCCCCCTGGAAAGAGTGTGGAAGCACCTGTGAGCAAGGACGAGGAGAAGAAGGAGGCCCCAGGTCTGCATACCCAGCCCATGCACCACCCATACACCATGTCTACTGCCATGGTAGAGAGCACCCACCCCTTTCCCTACTGCCTGCCCACCTGGCCTCCTGACCCCCTCTGCTCTCACACCACTTATGAAGGGCAGGCAATGCACCCACATGTACCATCCTTGGGCCCCTGGTCATCAGGCAGTTCTACAAGAGGAAGCAAGCAGGGGAAGCCAAGCTCAAAGCCACCAACTAATGCTAACTCCTCCCTCCCCCATCTTCCATTTCCCTACAGACAGTGTGGTGATTTTCTCTGAGAAGGATGAATTTGAGAAGCTGACAGCAACACCAGCAAAGACTACCAAGAGGTATGCAGAACCCACATTCCTTGGTGGTGTGGACTGTACCACCAAGTGGAGCAGCCTCAGCCCCAAGGACTTAACTTCAAGCTGGATTCTTGTGAAGTTCTGAGCAGGAAGGTCAGCTGGACATGCCAATAAGTGCACTGGGCAGCTAGACCAGGCCAGGGACTGTGTTGTCGAGGTACCTGGGATGCTGGAGGCAACTCCCCAACAGAGGGAGGCAATCCAGTTAGCATGGGGTTTCTGCTTTCTCCTTGACCAGCAGGGATTGATATATGTGTGTCAGGTGTGTGCCTGCTGCTGCCCAGTCAGACCCTTCCCTCATAACCCCACCCAGGTGCCCCGGGCCTTCAGTCCCCTTCTCCAGACTGTGGAAGAAGAACATGGGACTCATGCACTCTGGTTTAGGTCCCTACAGTGGCCAGTAATGCTAAAGCTACCAGCACCAGCTCCAGGGCCCGGACTGGCATTGCCCTGGGGCTGGTGATGATGGTGGTGACAATAGCTAACAAATACTTGGAGCTCATTGCCTACCAAGTCCTGTTCTTAGTCTGTAAATGCATCACCTGGCCACAGTCCTCAGAACAAAGCAGGCTGATACCATCCTCACTTCCAAAGTTTTTAAGTTGTCCAGGGTCACACATTGTGAGCAGCAAGACTGGGGTGCAAGTCCAGGCTCCCAACCATCCTCTAAATCTCTGGAGGAAGAGATTTGACCTATGAGATTTTACCACATTTTTAGCCCCTGCCTAAAATTTAGTGAGGAGAGAAGTAAATTTCTCCTTCGCCCCATTGGATGGTCGTTTGGACTCTGTCCTGCTTAAGTTCCAAAAATCAGCTCCGTAGCATCAATCCCCAGTCAGGTAGTTTGTGAGCCTTCCCTGCCAGGCCCTGCCCCATGGCCTTGCAGTCTAGCATGGGGAGGACCCCATCTACCCAATGCCTCCCTTTGCAGATGGTGTGCAGAGGCTCCACGTGCATCACCAAATCGAGTGCGGAAGAGCAGAGCATTAAGTCTCCTCTTCTGATTCCCACCTGGAATCCTGTCACAATGGCACAAGGTCTCTTTGCAAATATGTCCTACTTAGGAATATTAATGAATCTGAATGTCTCTGCAGAGCTTTGGCACTGACAAAGCACAGCCCAATGCCTTACCTCTTTGGAAAACTCCAGCATTTTTCAACACTCTTCAAACCAGGGCAGGAGTCGAACTGAAATCATGACATCTTTGCACACTAGGAAGGAGAAACAGAGAGCGTGTGTTACAATAGTCAGGCCCTTGGAAAGGGGTTAGTTCCTGTAAGTGCCGCAGTTGGTCATTTTTCACCCCGGGGAACTTACGGTCTGAGCCCTGCACACAGATCACGTGTTACCAGGGCTAGGCTCTGGCTGTGCTGTGTGAATCTGATTCCCAAATACGAACTTGCTGGAGAGGGAGACGGAGCTTCCCCTCAGCTTTCAGTCAGCACAATTCCATTTTGTCTCAGGTCTCTCCTTTGGTTCTTCCAAGGTTTCTTTTTTCTCTCTCTCTCTTTTTCTTTCTTTTTTTTTTGTGGGGGGGAGGGGAAACTGGAGTTTGAACTCAGGGCTTTGTGTTTGCAAAGCGGGTGCTCTACTGCTTGAGCCACACCTCCAGTACATTTTGTTCTCTTCCAGGATGCCTTATTCCCTAAGTAAAGAAAAAGAAAAAGGCAGGAATGTGCCGCATGGCTTGAAATACCTCTAAAGATAGAGAAAATTGCAGGACTGTACTTGGGGAAAATAGACACTTATTTCACACATAATTATTAAATAAAAATTAAAATCTAATATTTGGGCTTTCAAGATAACAAGACCCTGAGCTTTTCTCCCGCACAATGGCTCCTCGGTCTTGGATACAAGTCATGTGGAGCCACTTTGGTGGTCGGTGGGGACAGCATGTTTCCTACTGGCCTCCCGCAGGTGGGAACAGAGATGGGCCAGCAGATTCCCTGTGAGGCCCTGGAGCCTAGGGAAGAAGCAGTCCCGCTGGGGGCTTCATAGTTGCTTTGATTTTCTTCGTATTATCCTGGCTGGAGGGCCAAGTTTGCATATGGCCTTCATTGCTATAACTTGGTTATTAAGCAAATATAATTCTTTTTCTTTTAAGGTCTTTAGCCAAACCACAGGAAGTAAGCAGGATGCTTACCACAAAGAATGTTGTTTTTCATATATTTGGAATTGTTTGAGAGTTTAAGCTCCAATCTACTGGTGCCTGGGCCAGCACTGGGTTCTGAGCAGTGAGCAGTGGTGTGGCATGAGCCCAGGCTCATTGCAGGTGGCCACCCATCTTGCCCACCCTCCGAGGCTTGTGTTGCCTGCCGCAAGGCACATATCCAGCCTGGCCACCCCACTAGTCACAAGGGGGCTTCCCAGGCACAAAGTTCTGCTTGCTTCATTTGCCCCCACATGGTTCCAGTGCTAGCTGGTCACATAACCTAGATGGCTTCACATGAAGACACAAGATTGAACCTGTCTTACTTACTAGGATTAAATACAGGAATCTAGAACATTCTGTGACCCTTTACTGAGCATCCACCATGTGTCAGATGGGATGAAGAAATGGATAGGTGATACCCTCAATGACAGCCTCAGCCCCTCAGAGCTCCCACTGCACCTTGTGAGCCCCACACAGACCAGACGCCTGCAATTGCCCGGTACTGAGTTGCTTGTTTGGAAAGGAGCAGGGAGCAGGATATGTCTTTTTCTTCTCTCGTCCTCTCACCTGAAGGCTGCAAGGAGCACAGGAAATGCTTGAGAAACAAGTCACTGCACCCCGCTGCGCACACCTGGGTGGCAAGGTCACCACGGGTAGAGACTGTCAAGGCTGCAGCTTCCCAGTCACCACTAACAAGTGTCTCTTGTTTCTGCAGTGAGAATGATGCTTCCTCAGAGAACGAGCAGCTGCTGAGTCGCAGTGTGGACAGTGACGAGGAGCCAGCCCCCGACAAGCAGGGATCCCCAGAGCTGTGCCTGCTGTCACTGGTTCACCTGGCCAGGGAGAAGTCTGCCACCAGCAACAAGTCAGCTGGGGTGAGACTCCGGAGCACATGCCAATGTGCCAAGGCCCACAGTGTATCAGTATAGTGACTTAGAGCCACCAGACAAGATGTCTTGTGTTGAATAAACAGGAGAGCATTTCTCCCATCGGTTCCAGCTAGGACACTAGGCAGTGTCAGGTCAACATAACAGCAAAAAACGGAAAACTCTTTATTATATTGCTTTTTAAACAAAAAATAAAAAATAATAAGAGAAAAAAGTTAAAATCAGTTGGAATGAAGAGAACAGAAAAACCTTTGAAAACATTCTGGTGTATAACCAACACAGATATTTTTCCACCTATACACATTTATGTGTGAGGCTGAGGTGTGGTTCAGTTAGTTAAGTGCCTGCCTCACAAAGGTGAAGCCTTGAGTTCAAACCCCAGTAGTGCCAAAATGAAAAAAAACCAAAACCACAAAACACATAGATGTGTGAATCCTTGGATTCAACCAAAAAGGAAAATAGTGAAAAGAAAATGTACTCAATATATACATACTTTTTTCTCATTATTATTCTATAAACAATAACTATTTGCACAGCACTTACATTGTATCAGTTATTGGTTGTAATCTAGATATGATTTAAACTGTACAGGAGGATGTACAGTTTCTATGCAAATATTATGGCATTTTACATAAGGGACTTGAGCATCTGCAACTTCCATATGCTCAGGGGTCCTAGAACCAGTTCTAGGAAACCAGGAATGATTTTATGTATGTACAAATGGGTTTTATATATGTACACACACAAACATTTTCATTTATTTCTTTTTTTTTCCTGAGACAGAGTCTCACTCACTATGTTGCCCAGGCTGGTAGTCCTCCCACCTCAACCTCCCAAGTGTTGGGACTATAGGCATGAGCCACCACACTCAGCTATTTATATTTACTTCTTGTATGCGTTTCTTTCATATAGAAATAGGCTCACATGCACAAATTGTCCATGAGGGTTTTTTTCACTAAAGTAGGCCACCCTGGTCCGGGCATGGCTGCCTAAGGCCCTGGCGTGTGTTTGCTCTCTGGTCTGTGCCTCAGTCAGCCCAGCCAAACCCAGGGCAGCTGTGTGGCCAGGCAACATCACTGAGGGTGAAAATGCCCAGTTAGGATCTTGGGCCTGACCTGATCCTGCCAGGACACTACATTCTGGGATGCTGTAAGTTCAGTGGCTTCTCTAAAAGAGCCACTGCTTGCAGGGACTCTATGGGACTGTTACAAGAGCTGTGAGTGGCCGTGGACCTGAGACTTATCAGCCGAGGCCACTTAGCACCTGTCCTTGCAACAGGCTGTCTGCCAGCTCTGCTGGCTGTTGAATGCACTGCTGTCACTCTGGCCAGCAGGGGACCCCACCACCATCCTTCCAAACACAGTAATGCCAACTACAGCCTTGGCACATGAGCCTAAGAAACACCCCAAAGCACAGCCGTGTTTGCTTGGGAGGCCCTTTCTTCCTCCTGGTGCGCGTGGGCTGCACGCAGGCTGTTTCCCTGTTGGACCTTGGTGCAGTACCCCGGCTATCGGGATAAAGCGCTAGCTGCCAGGACATTGCTACCATGCTCCCCACCTCGGTGATTAGCACTCTCTTAACATTCTTTCACAGATCCAGAGCCGAAGGAAAAAGATATTGGATGTTTATGCCAACGTGTGTGGTGTTGTCGAAGGTAAGCACAAAAGAGTCTCCCGGGGGACAATTTCCTGAGGCAATGCCAGAGTGAGACAAGGCTCCCAGCTAGAATGAGGCATCTTGGCCGTATGTCCTATGGCCCTTCTCCCATAAGACAGGAGATGGCTAGGGTGCAGGGCCAAGTCGGGCTGGAAACAGAGTGATGAGACTACGTAGCTTCAATGCCATGTCTGCATCGGCATCACCGTCAGGGAAATATCAGTGACAAATTCCTGACATTTATCCAGTACAGTCAGTGCTGACTAACAGAAACACACTCTGAGAAGCATGCAGTTAGGTGATTTTGTCCTTGTGTGAACATCAGAGCATATTCATAAACGAGGATGGTTACACGTAGGTAGGCAATATAATCTTATGGGACCACTGCTGCATTCGTAGTGACAGCACGTCACTAGTGACATGGCTATACTACCTAGTAGTCCCTCTTTTCCCTCCTGAGGCCTTGAAGGCTTCCCCCCTCTTTCCAAAGCTGCCACCTGAGCAGCAAATCAGACTGCCTCACAGTAACCCAAGATATACCTGGTACAGGCAGGTGAGATGCAAGAGGTCTAGGAACATAAACATCACAATCTTGGCTGGGGGCATGGCCCAAGTGGTAGAGCACTTGCCTAACAAGCCTGATACCCTGAGTTCAAACTCCAGTTCTACCAAAAAAAATTAAAATTACCAACATTTCAGTCTGACATCCTAATCCACAGATACTAATTGCTGCAAAATCCAGTTTCTAAGTTACCTGAAGATGAACCCCTCATTGCTGAAGGCAAGGGATTTTCCTGCTTCCTTCTTCCTACTTCTCTGGCAATCCCTCCACACACACCCCAGCCTGGCCGAGCAGCCTGACTGAGCTGGGTGCACATTCTGTCACTTTTGCCCCACATGGGCTAGCTACAGCCCACTGAGTCTGGACAGGGTAGTTGTATGCTCTGTTGGCCAGAAATAACTGCTGAGCATGTGTTCCAGGGCCAAAAATTCTTCTTGGCTGTCTGTTGAAATCTGGCATCTCTCTATAAATACCTGCCCAGTCAGCCTGCCTAATCAAGCCTGGCATAGTGAGGACTGTTGGCTGCCCAGTGGAGGATGGTTTGGGACTTGCATTCCAGCACTCCAAAAGCTCTTCTCTGTTCCAAAGAATGCCTTGACTTAAAGAGCTCATACCTCTGGGACCACTGAATTAATATTCAAATTAATTTTTGGAACACTTAACACAAGAACTCTTCCAGTGAGCCTGAGAAGGTGAAAGCTTAAAGCTCTTTGCCTTTGGGCAGCCCTGGCACATGTGCCTCATAATCCCACAGTGATGCCAACACACAGTCTTGGCCTAGAGCCTCAGAACAGCAGGCCACAACCACAAGAAATGTTAGAACCCCTGGAGAGCCTAACACTATCTCTGCCTGTCTTCTGCTCAGCCCATTCCACTTTCCCTACTGTCCTGATGTAATTAGTCTGAGTCGAGACCAAGGCATCAAAGCCTTTTGAGTCTGGTTTTTTTTTTTTCATTAAATTTTTTATTGTGAGATAATTCCTACCACATGGTAGCAAGAGATAATGTAGTGAGAACCTGGGTTTCTTTACCAGGTTCTCCTAATAAAGTCTTGCAAAACTGTACGTAAAAATCACAAGCAGGACATTGACATCAATACAATGAAGACAGAGACCCTTTCCATCACCCCCTATAATCCCCCTTCCCCTTTGACAACCACAAATCTGTTCTCCATTTCCGTAATTTTGTCATTTCAAGAATGTTATAGAAGTGTCATCATGCAGTTTGTAACCTCCTGTGATCAGCTATTCTAATGCATTGTCATTCACTAAAGGTTCATCTGGGTTGTTTCATGTGTCAATAGTTCTTTCCTTTCTATTTCTGAGCAGTGTTTCACGGTAGCGAAAGCCCACAGTTGGTTTAACCTTTTCTTTGTTGAAGGATGTCTCAATTGTTTCCAGATAGGGGCTAATATAAATAAAGGTGCTATAAGCACTTCAGTGCATATTTTTGTGTGGACATAAGTCATCATTTCTCTGGGATAAATGCTCAGGAGTGCTGTGTGTTACTTGTGTGTTTAGTGTTTTAAAAATGGTCAAACTATTCCAAAGTAGCTATACCGTTTTATATTTCTACTATCAACATATGATGAAAGCCTCACCAGCACTTGGTGTGGCTACTATTTCTAATCATTCTGATACATATGTTGTGATATCTCATATTATGATTTTAATTTGCATTTCTGTATTGATTGAACATCTTCTCTTGTGTTTATTTATCACCTGTATGTCCTTTCAGCAGGATGTTTCTGCATTGATTTTGTCCAATTGTGTAATTTTTTTTAGCTGTCAGGTTTTGAGTGGGCTTAATTTGTTCTAGTCCTTTAATAGATGTGTAGTTTACAACTATCTTCTCCAAAGTATAGCTATAGCTACCTTAACTTGATAGCTATAAGGTAGCTATAGCTACCTTAACAGAGTCTTTTGCAGAGCACAGTTATAAAACTAAATCTGACTAGGAGTCAGATTTATCATATGGATTGTGCTTTTACTATCAAGTGTAAGATCTGTTTTGCCTAGCTTTAGATTCCAAAGATTTTCCTCCAAAAGTTTTTCTAAAACCTTTACAGGTTTTTGTTTGTTTTTTGTTTTTTTTGTTTGTTTGTTTTTGGAGTACCAGGGTTTGAACTCAGGGCCTACACTTTGAGCCACTCCACCTGCCCTTTTGGTGTTAGGTATTTTCAAGATAGGTCTCACAAACTATTTGCCCAGGATGGCTTCAAACCATGATCCCCTGATTTCTGCCTCCTGAGTTGCTAGGATTATAGGCGTGAGCCACCAACGTGCCTTATGTTCACATTTAACTCCATGATCAGTCTAATTTTTATGAGAAATGAGATGTGTATGGAGGTCTTTTTTTTTCTTGCTTTCTATTGATGTTCTAATTTCTATTGATTTCCAATTTTTGCCTTAATTGGTGTCTATTTGTTGAAAAGACTACCTTTTCTGTATTGAATTGCTCTTGTATCTTTGTCAAAACTCAGTTTGACATATTTCTGAAGGTCTATTTTCTGGATTCTCTCCTATTATATTGCTCTGTGAATCTGTCCCTCTGACAATATTTAATAGTCTTGATTCCTATATAAGTTATGTAATAACATGCAAGTCTTGAAATCAGATAGCTGACTGCCATTTTATTCTTTTTTCACAAAATTATTTTAGTCTAGTCCTTTGCCTTTTCATATAAGTTTTAGAATAATTTTCCCTATATGTACAAAATATCTAGCTGAGAATTTGATAGAAATTGCATCAAACCAGCATATCAGTTCAGAGACTCAACATCTTTATTATCTTCTCTTATAATCCACGAACACGGACGGTGTGACTCTTCATTCACTTAGATGGTCTTTGATTTCTCTCATCAACATTGTGTAGTTTTCAGAATGTAAATTCTATACATGTTTTGCTAGATTTATACTTTAAGTATTTCATTTATTTTTGAGCATTATATATGATATTTTAATTTCAGTACACAGGTATTCATTATTAGTATATAAAAATACACTTTATTTTTGTGTATTTACCTTATACCCTGTGACCTGCTAAATTCACTTTTAAGTGGGAATTTTCTTATAGATTTCTTGGGAATGTCTGCACATGTAGGCAGTTTATTTCTTCCTTTCCAAACTGTATATGCCTTTTTCTTTCCTTTTCCCATCTTACTGCTTTGGTTATCAATTCCATGTCAAATAAGAGTGGTGAGATGAATAAATAAAGAAAAAAAAAGAGAGTGGTGAGAGCAGAAATCCTTGCCTTGCTCCTGATCTTAAAGGAAAACATTCAACTCTTTACCATTAAATATAATATTAGCACTAGACTTTTTAATAAATGGTTCAAGTTAATTTTGTAAATGGACTACATTAATTTTTGAATATTGAACTAGCCTTACATCCTAGAATAAATGCCACTTATCATGGCATATAATTCTACATTGTTGAATTCTATTTGCTTATATTTTATTAAGGATTTTGCATCATATTCATGGAGAATATTGCTTTGTGGTTTTGTATTTTCTTGGTCTAGTTTTGGTATCAAGTTGGGAAATATTTCCTTCTTTTTTGTTTTTTGGAACAGATGTATAGAATTGGTATTATTATTTGGTAGAATCTTAGAATAGTTTTAAGTGGTATTGAACTCCTTTTGACTGCTGTTTGTGACATCTGACTGAATGTTGTTGCTGTTCTAGGACTCAGTCCCACAGAGCTACCATTTGATTGCCTGGAGAAAACAAGCCGAATGCTCAGTTCCACATACAACTCTGAGAAGGCTATTGTGAAAACATGGCGCCACCTTGCAGAGAGCTTTGGGCTGAAGAGGGATGAGATTGGGGGCATGACAGATGGCATGCAGCTGTTTGACCGCATCAGCACAGCAGGCTACAGCATTCCAGAGCTGCTCACAAAGCTGGTGCAGATCGAGCGGCTGGATGCTGTGGAGTCATTGTGTGCAGACATACTGGAGTGGGCAGGGGTTGTACCACCTGCCTCCCCAGCCCCTGCTGCATCCTGAGGAGTGTGCCTTGAACTGTCCTCCACGGAATGAGCTAGAGATCCAATGAGGCCTCTGTAGCTGTAAGTGGTGCCATCAGACTGCCAAAAATCAAGGCTTTTTCTGATGTGTCACCCTATGCCTTAGGCTGCTCCAAGGAGCAAGAGAAAAATGGAGACTGTCTTCCAATCTAACCAAAGACAAAGGATTAAAGCTGAGATGCTCCTAGCTCCTCACCTTTACCTCACCAGGCAGAGTGAATATTTATTCATTGATCTAGTCAGTCCGTCAGCCTGCTATAAATTCATTCAAGAGACATGGTTGGGTACTTAAATGAACCAAACCATATGAAGATGGCAGAGAAGAATCTGGTCCTGCCTTTAAGGAGCTTACCTTTGCTGGAAGACAGAAGACATGTTATAGATCACTTCACCAGAAGACATCAAAAAAGCTGAATGAGAGGATACTAAGAAAATGTAATAAAAGTTCTAAGAGATAGCTTCTTACGGCGATGATGAAGGAGGACATCCTTGTAAAGAAAGTAGCTCAAAAGTTTGGTAAAATGGTTGCAACTCCACACATTGTTTCAAGATCAGCACAGTCTATGGAAATCCTATGTGGTTTCGCTGAGATATCTTGACCTATCTTTGTGGTCATCTACATTCCTACAGGCCTTCCAGTCTATAATGGAAGCACTACCTCTGTGTCCTGCTCTGTGGTACTGACGTGCAAAGCATGTGTCTGTCCAAATGGGCAGGCATAAGCAGTGGCCAGTTTTATTGACTGCATGACTCTTAGGTCTAGAACCAGTGGTCTGGATTGCATGTGAATGGCCTCCCACTTTTGTCCTAGGCAGACCTTCAGAGGCAGCAGGACTCAAGGACACAGCAGGTTAAGTTATAATGTATCAAGCTGTGTTGCTTTGAACAGGTATGCATGGTCAGCTCGGCCTAGAGAAGGAAACAAAGACTTCCTAAAAGTTCAACCATGGTTAATTCTAGATTTTGAGAGTGGCCAAGATTTGTGCGTGAGGCTCAGCGGTTGAGACTCTCAGATGCAGCTTTTTGAGCCAATCAGATATGGTAGAGCCTGTGGTGCAATGCAGAGCCTGGCCTGGAATCCCCTGGGACCTGGTTGTGCCACCTTGGACCACTTTCTTCTCCACCCTTGGCCTGAGTTTTACTTTTGTAATGAGAGGTTTATCTGTGATACTGTAATCAGGAAAGCAAGGCTCAAGCCTTACTGAGCAAGACAAAAGTGGAGCCACAAGACAGGCTCGGCCTTAGAGGCCTCTATGGTGTGCATTGCAGGCCATCACACAAAAGAGAAGAAAAACTCACAATTGTCATTTTGTTCAATGTAACATTTATAAAGTTAATAAATTGGCATTGTTCTCAGCAGATTCTCTTATTACACCTGTGACTGCTGAGAGCTGGGGAGCCAGGGTATTGATTATTCCAGGGGTCAATGCCAAGCTGGCTGCTGTGCTACCTCCCAGTGGGTCTGACTGTGGTGAATGCTAAATTAAGAACAAAGCCTCTGACTTATAAAGCAATGTTTTTCAATTACAAGCCTCACAACAGAACAAAGGTTTGAGGGGAATCAGTTATATGTTTAAAGCCAACAAGCAATTTCCCACGGCTGAGTGTAGAACATACTGTGAGAGGACCGGAATTAAGGTCCTGAGTATTTGATATCATCATTTACTGTATCTGTTTGCTGCTGTTTTTTCCAAAATCTATTTGGTATATTCTGCAAGCTAAATATTCGGAGGCAAGGCTTAATTATCCTTTTAATTCCTCTTTGAAATCCCTCAGTGCCCTTTCCCCCTTTCTCCCCTTAATTAGACTGCAAATGTCACGTGGTGAATGAGAAGGTCCAGGAGAACAGCTTGTACCCTCCTTCCAATGATGTTTTCAGTAAGGAGGGGTGACTGTTCTCAGCCAGTGGGGAATTGGCCTCACTTTACCCTATTCAATTCTGGGGCCAGAGGGCAGCCAACATCAGCCTGCCATCCTTTGGGAGCTAGTCCTCATATAGCTACACCTTCCCTTGTCATTTACTTATTTGGAACAAATCCAAGAAAGGTTTACTCCAATGAGCTTTTGTCTACGTTATAGAATTCAAAATCATTGAAGCCATGATGACTTTTGCTGACCAAAACTGGGACTCCATGCTGACATTTTGTCTAGAGACAGTCATTATTTTACAATACCTAAAAAACCTTTAGTAAACACCCCAGGCAAGGTGTATGGCCCTTAGCCAGTGAAGTTTTAATTGTGAATATTTTTATCTAATTCTGTACATATAACTTATTATATTTTATAACCTCAACAAACATGCTAATAAAAATGAGAGCTATAAATGAATGCCATGTGAGCTCTTTGTGTGCATGGTGGTGGTGATGAGTGGAGAAGCTTCTGACTGCTATGTTCCTGTTACTATACTGTATAGGATGAGGCTGTAAGATTGCAGTCAGCTATAAATGAGGTGCCTGAAGTGTTGTGGCCTGGGCCACTAAATCAACAGAAGCATGTACAGTAGACCCTTGGTATTCATGGGTATCTTGTTCCAAGGAGACTAGTATTAATGAAAAACTACATATACTCAGGATGAATAGAGTTTAGTACTGTACCTTGGGAACTTAATTCATTTTTCCTATCATACTACTCAGCTTCTGCTAATGACATGCCACCCTTCCACAAATCTAAAATTTTTATTTGATCACTTCTGCACATTCACTTTGACCTTGCTTTTGGAGCACCATTTGCTTTTCAAGAACCGTATTTTCACAAAATTAAGACCAGGAAATAGCAGATCATACAAAGATTTAAATGATGACAATGTGGGATTGACTGAGAGCTCCTCCACATCCACTGAGCTGAGTACTACAGGCACTGTAATTTTAATTTTGAAATTTCTTTTGATTTTTAAAAACTTATTATCTGTTGATCACACTTGGTCAAAAGTGCATGTAACAAATTCATAAATAAGTTGAGCTTACTGTATTACATTGAGATCACGTAAAAACAACCTGGAACACTGCTTCCCTAGTTGCTTCTGTTGTTCATAAAGCAATATATCACACAGCTACTATTATTTTTTAAACTATCCCAAAATTTAGTTGCTTAAAGCACAGTCATTTCTCAGTATAACTCAGTGGCCAAAAGGGGCCAGTAAAGGCCCCTTTTTAAAACCTGGCTCAGCAGGGCCTCTGCCTGCTACGAAACTGGGGCGCTCTGCTCCATCATCCTTCATCCTCCACCTCAAACCAGTCAGCAAGCCCGAGGATGTTCTTACCATGGCAATGACAGACAGCCAAAGAGCAGAAACACAGGCAGTCTCTAAAGGCCTGGGCTCAGAACTGGCTCACTGTCACTTTGTCCTGTTGGCCAAAGCAACTCACATGGTCAAACCCAGCATCAAGGGTCAGGAAGGGGACTCCATTTGCCTGAGGAACCACACAAATACCAAACAGCATGGATATAAGAAAGTGTTAATCATCTTTCTGTCATAATAACAAATATCTGAGCATCAACTTCCAAAGGGAAAAGGGTTGTTTGGGCTCACAGTTTTTGGGGTTTCAGTTTATGGTTGGTTGGCCCCATTACTTTGGGCCTGTCTCACATCGTGTCAGAAGTACATGGAAAACTACTGGGAAGCAAAAGAAATGCAGAGGAAGAGCTGGGTCCCACTATCACCTTCAAGGGCATGTCCCCAATAATTTGGAAACCTCCACCTCGGCCCTATCTCCTAAAGGTTCCATCACCTCTCAATAGCTGTGGGGAGCAAACCTTTACCACAGAAAACTTGGGGGGATGCTTAAGATCCAGACTTAGTAGGGAGGTAAGGAAATGGGCAGTCAATGTAAACTCCCACAGGCACATGTGTCTTTCCATGTTGCCACAATGTAAGGGCTCAAAACAACCCAAATATATGATCTCAGAGTTCTGGAAGTCAGAAGTCCTGAAGTCAACGTGTTGACAGGGTTATGTTCCTTCTAGAGGTTTTAGAAGAGAATCTATTACCTTGCCTTTTCTAACGTAAAGAGTCTGTATCCTCAGCTTGTGGCTCCTTCTGTCTTCCCTGGCCAGCAACTACTCTGACCCTCCTGCATCCCTCTTTACTTTAGAAGGACCCTCGTGATTCCACTGTGCCCCATCTCCACCAGACAATCCAGGACCATCTCCCCCCATCAGGATCCTTACCCCAATCACTTCTGCACAGCCCCTTGACGGTGACATATCATAGCTTCTGGGAATTAGGTAGAGGGCATCTTCAAGGGCCTCTGCCTTCCATAACAGATGTATAAAGGAATGTGAAGTCGAAAAACCTAGCATTTACAGGGGCAGAGCTCTGAAAATGTACTCCCCAGCTAGATCCATTTTACTGTTTTGACAAAACATAGTAGCAAAAGCAGCTGCCTTCCTGCTGGGGATTTTGAGAGAAGTGATGAAGGGGCACACGTGTCATGTTCAGGCCTACTAGGTTCAGATGGGCCACCTGTCCAGACCCAGGTCTGTGTGGCACTCAGCACTCTCCTCCATCTTGTGGTCCAGAAGGAACATGGCAGAGTCAGATGATCCCTCATTTTGAATAGAAGGACATCTCTCTATTCATGGCTTTACGGAGACTTTTCCCTTTGTTAGCCCATGTGAGTTGTCAGCTTGTGTAACACCAAGGCCCGAGCTGTATTCTGCTTCTTCACTCCATCCATTGGGTCCGTTAGACAGATTATGTCAAAATCTTATTACCGAGTGTTTTACTAACCAGGAAAACCTAGAGACAGAACATTGTTCATGTGGGAAGCCACCTCAGAGTTCCCCTCTGAGGGAACTTAGAAGGGGATCCCTTCTAAGCTGCCTGCTTTGGAGCAATGATACCTGGACATCCCCATCAGTCCTGAAAGGAGTTGAAGTTTGATAAGTGTGACAAAATAAGAGCAGACCCTGGTTCTTATCACAGAGCTTCTAATGCCTGTGACTTTCCTGAGCATTAGTGAGAAAACACCTTTTGCTATA